CTTTGATGTTTCTCTTTTGTTTTCCAAATAACATAAATCTGGTTTTATCTAGATTCAATGATCATTTATATCAAACCACTTCTTTAATATCGTTAATTCCTGTGTGACCATCTCCAAAACTTTAAACATCCCTTTGTCCTGTTAATTTCAAGCATTCCACAATTCTAAATAGATTTTTTGACATTTATCCTAATTTGGTTTCATTTTACTTGTGCACTAATTGCGTGCAATGACTTGTTTCAACACTACTGCTGTATACTACTCTGCAGGCTGTTGGATGCATCTGCTGTACCAGTGGGCGTGAGCCTGGACCTCACACTGGTCCTTGAATACATTGACCAGGACCTGTCCACCTACCTCTCAAAAGCTCCTGCTTCTGGACTGAGCCGTGACTGCATAAAGGTGTGAGTCATGATCTGATTTTGCTTTGCAGTCAAAGCTCACAGCTTGAGATAGAATCGTAATTACTGCCATGCTGCTCCCAGGATGTGATGCAGCAGTTGCTGCAGGGCCTGGACTTCCTACACATGAACATGGTGCTGCACCGAGACCTAAAACCAGAAAACATCCTCATCAGCAGCCGTGGAGAAGTCAAGATCGCAGACTTTGGACTGGCACGGATCCTCACCTTTAATATTGCTCTTACCCCAGGTGTAAGTGAGACAACAGAAATTTGATGTTAAGCATTACGTTTCACTACAATAATCCTATCTTAACACAGTTTTCTTATACTCGGCACTGTTCTTGGGCCTGAGGTGAAAAAAACGCATACCTTTTCTTTGCTTCTTCCACCCCCGCCTGTAACTTTATTTCTTATATTCTCTCCCGTTTCTGCTCAGGTGGTGACACTCTGGTATCGAGCTCCTGAGGTGCTGCTGAACTCTGTTTACATGTCCTCGGTGGACATGTGGAGTGCTGGATGCATCTTTGCTGAGCTCTTCCTCTTGAGGTAAGAGCCGCTCAGACTTTGTATCGCTGGAAGACATATTTGACGCTGGGATGTTATTCTAAATTTAGAGATAAAACCTTCTGTACAGTTGTGAAAATAGAGATGAAGTTGGCGTGTGATTTGAGCTGAGCTTTGTTCCCACAGGCCGTTGTTTCGGGGATACACAGAGGTGCAGCAGCTGCAAAAAATCTTCCAGTGAGTGTTTTTGTTTTTTGAGTATATCTTTAAAAAAAGGGGGGGGAGAGCTTCTTTGCTCTGCACTGCCTCTCTGCTGTCATGCAGGGTTGTTTGTAACAATAATACTGAAAATGCACCAAGAAACACAGGAAGCGGTCAAGCATTTGAATTTTCATCCCTGTGGTGCATGTCATCTTTGGTCCAAACCCAAACCAATCGGGATAAAGCCAACCCAGAACCAAAGTAGGCCTTTCTATTGAGGGACTGGGGGCTGCTGGAGGTTAACTTTCTCATTTCTTAGTTTGCTTAATCCTTTATTGCTCTTCTTGGGTCTTAGTCTCCCCACAGAGATGGAAGCAGAGGAGGCAAAGAAGAGACAAGGTGAAATTAGAAAAGTCTATAGTCAAAGATGCGGTCAATGCCAGTTTTACCAGTTTTACAGCTGACTGCAAGAATACGCAAGACAATTTGTCAAAACATTAGTAACCCCCTCCTCTAATCCATGCAAGCCATCCTCCTCACCAAAAAGTTTGTAAACATATCCAAGTTTGTTTACCTTTGTTGTATCAAGGACAATGAAGAGAACTTTGACTGTTAACCCTGTTGATTTATAACATAGTCACATTAAAAATAACCATTTCACAGGGCTGTATGCAGTCTTGCTTTTGTCCAGATGCAACTTTGCAAACTTTAGCCATGGCTTTTAGAAAGAAGAGGGAGAACCCTTCCATACAAATCATACCTTTTCTGATTGTACCACACTCTGTGTTTTGTGCTGCTGCACGGTTGTTCCTTGCTTTATGTTTTTCAGGGTGATTGGTTTGCCTGGTGAGGAGGACTGGCCCACGGACAGCCCGATCTCATATTCAGTCAACTGGGGACCTCAAGGCTCTCTGACCAAGCTGCTGCCCAACCTGGGCCCAGATGAGAATGACCTCTTGTCTGTGAGCAGATCTGTGTTTGTGTGTTCACGTTGCACTTATGACAGCTGTGTCCACATCCCCTCCGTAATCACTCCTTCAACAAAGTAGAAAAAATAGAATAGTTGAATTTGTGAAAAAAAGGGCATGAGATGTACATAGCCCTGCTGTCAGCGCAATGAGGCTGTTTTTAGTCAGAGCGGTGCATATTTAGCTTATGTTGCCATGGCAAACATGTTTGCCACATAATGTTTACCTTGTTTATCATCTTAGTTTAGACAGTTTATATTTGCAGATCATTAAAAAACAGCAGAATTTAAAAAAAAAATTTTCAGGACACATTGATGCCACTGCATTTAAACTCAGGACTGAAAAAAATGTGCGTCATTCTGATGGAAACGTTACATTTTAAAACCAAATGTCATAGCAATTCTGTTCCTGTTACACAGCTTGCAGCCGGTGTTCCCATATCCACGCATCTACGGAGTACCCAAGCTGCCCAAAATTTGAAAGGAAATGAATAAATTTTTAAAAAAGACTCATAAATAATTATTATGCCATTTATTAAATTAATATTAAAACTCACGATAATTTTTTTCTAAAATTTCTACTTTTATATTTGTTCCTTTTCTTTCCATTTTATTTTGTTTTATTTTTATTTTATTCAAGTATATTTGCATTATTCTGCCTAATTAAACAAGGCTGTTTCATGTCCTGAAATTATTTAAAGAATAGCCCAAAAGTTAACCTACTGATAAACTTTGAATGACTCCCCCCTTATTTGCATAAAGAAACAGAAGTGCATTAAGAATTATACAATTTAAAAAAATTTGAAAAAAAGTACAAAAAGGAAAAAAAGAATACATAAATAAAATAAATATATAAAAATAAATAAACTATTTAATAGAAATATTAATTGTACAAATTAATAGTAAACTGTATTGTAATTACACTCAGTAAAGTATTGTAATGACTAATTACATTTTTTAAAATATTTATTTATTTGGCATTTTTGGTCCTCCATACATGTGCAGTGCTTGCTTGCTTGCTTTTGTGTCTTAATATAAGTAATATTTTGTTCTTTGTGTTGCTGATTTGAATAAGTGATAATTCAAAAATCTGAGATTAATCAAAGGCAACAAACAACTTTGAGAATGTGGTTTCACAAAGTAGGGATAGTAATTGTCTGTAAACTGTTAGTAAGGTGTAACATCTCCTCACCTGCAGCAATGTTTGGTATTCAGACCGAGTCGCCGCATCTCAGCCGCCAAAGCCCTGGCTCATCCTTTCTTCACGAAGCCCTGAAGATCTCGGTCGAATGAGGACAGGAAGAAAGAGCAATTCAGCTGCTGCTGCTCTGAGCTTCTCCCACCTACATAATAGTTTTGTGCCATAAAATCCACCGTCAACTTTGTTCAGAGCGCAGTTTGATTATTGCCTTTGAGAGCTTTTAAACTGCAGTCACACCATCATGAGAGACTGCGGTCAGGTCTGAGGTTTCCACCTTTTTATACATCAGTTAAATTAGGATGCCTGACTCGCCGAATATGGATGTTATGGCACACAACCTTGAAGACAGTGGGTCCTATTTCGATAAATTCGATAAATTTCAAAACATGAAGCGGTTTTATTTTACACTGTTATAATTTCTTATTTCAACTTCATGTGTTTTGTGTGTGTTCTTTGATTTACAGAGTGTGCTTGTTTTTTGTTGTTTGGTTTTACTGTTTCGTTACATGCTTCAGAAACCTATTATGAGCACCTTTAAGTTTGTTGCTGTTTCTTTAACACAAAAAAAAATCGTTCTAGAGTTGATTGAATCGGAGGAAATGTCACATTTATTTTTTATATTTTTGTAAAAATATTTACTGATAACTGATGGTGTAATCAGTATAGAGCACACTGGTATTTATGTGTGTATTAACAGATTGTTTTATTTTTCTACATAAGTTGCACTGTTCATTTCAAAAGCATTCCTATAAATAACTGTCTCTTACATTGGGCTGAGTTTGAATTTTGTTCCTTGCTGTGTGTTCCACTTGCACTTTCAAAGTGCGAAGAGAAGGGGGCGCTGTTATAACACATTTTTCCAACAGGAAGGGAGCCGTTACAGTGGAGCCTGCCTTCACATTTACAGGTTTCACAGTAGGGACAGGTTAAAGGAAAGCCCTGAACTTTTGACCCCTACCGTGCTCTGGTATATTCTGAGGAAACACTTGTACCCTTTAAGGGAAGAATCACTGCAAACTAATATTATCCTGAATGATCACACTTATCCTTTGGAACATTTACATCATGATGGGAAAATTCCTTCCAAGATGGCAATGTCCTCCAGGGAGCCAGTGCTGACTCAGAGCCTTATTAAAACCCTTGATGTTGTTTTATCTGCTTACAGTCACCTGTGTGCCGGTCAGTGAGATCTAAATCAGCCTCTCTTGGATGATCTTTTTAGGTGTAGGTGGTGAAGTTTTAAAGATCCCTAAGAGAGGAGCAGGTACAGATACTAAAAGATACTAAAAGTGCATCCATAGGGGTCATTATGAATACATACAATTAAGAATTAACTTTTTTTCCCCCATTTATGTATATAACTAATTATTTTCCACTTTGATTCAGTTAATTTAAGGATTGACGTGCACAGGGTTTCTACATTACACAGCAGTTTCAGTTCACTGCGTTCAGCTGGTTTGTAGTAATTAATATGGGGAATTTGTATCACGCAGGCGCAATGTAAGACATAATTAACATCTTCAAAGCAGGTTTTAACAGGTGTACATTCCTGAGGTTATTACTTCAAAAGTGAAATAATAATAAAGCAGACATAAAGTGAGTCAAAGGCTTCAGAGGTCATTTAGAGGCTGCAGCGGTTGTTAGAAACGTCTCTCGCACAGAGCAAGGGGCGTCCCCCGGTGTGTCCATCTATTTATATTCTCCTCCCTTAATACGGTGCGCCATCCACAGCTGCCAGTGCGACTACTTTTGGAGCGACGGATCGTTGGGGAGGGACCGCCGGGGCTGAGGAGGGCTCTCGAGGCGAGCAGTACATGTAAGTACAAATTAAATACTCAATTCTGCCATTCTCATCTTCAAAAGTACAAAATCCGAGCAGGAGGCAGCTTGGAGAATATTTCAAAGTAGGTCACTTGTTGCCTGAGTCACCTGTTCAGTCTGACTTGGGGAGACACGGGTTGTGCATGTTTAGGGAGAATGGTTATAGTCTGGGTGTTCATTCACTTTAAATGCCCCGTGAGTAAAAAAGTTTAATATGGAAGAGTAAATATTGCTGTTACGCACAGTTTACGCGTTAATTTAATGTCTGCCAGAAAGTTACTTCCGAAATGTACCAAAAAAGATCGAGTGTCCGTATTCAAAGTGCTGGAAATGACTTCTTGTCGTATAATCCGTCAAACATACGTCAAACTTATCTTTCATGAATGATATCAAGTCACAAAGTAGTGACCTTTATTTATCTAGTGACCTTTATTTATCTAGCTAAAAAGTTTCATTGACGTTACAACTGGCCATAAGCGCCAAAATCTAAGATAATAGTTGTATAAAATACTTAAACTGGGGCGAAAAGGACTGCATTCATTATAATGTAGATACAATACCGTAGAGCAGGGGTGTCGAACTCCAGGCCTCGAGGTCCAGTGTCCTACAGGTTTTAGATATCACTCTGGGTCAACACACCTGAATCACATGATTAGTTCATTACCAGGCTTCTGGAGAACTTCAACACATGTTGAGGAAGTAATTTAGCCACTTAAATCAGCTGTGTTGGATCAACGACACATCTAAAACCTGCAGGACACCGGCCCTCGAGGCCTGGAGTTCGACACCTGTGCCGTAGAGTCATAAATATAAATGCAAAACAAGTAATTTCTTGATTTTATATGAAACCCCTTCTGCTGATTAGACTATTTACCAATATAAGCAAAGACATTACGCATAAAAAACACACGGAAACACTGGGGAATCACTTTTTAGCACAACACTGGATTCATGTAAAACTTAATATTTGCGTCCTGTAAATAAGTTAAATGACTCATTGTTCAGCTCTTTGGTAGCTACGTATGTAGGCTGTTACCCTATGCTGAGTTGTTTAGACAACAAATGAGTTTTGATATAAAAAATGTTCTCCCCAGCATGAGGACTTTGCCAAAGACGTGTCGTGTGTTAAATCTCACGAGGAGCTGATGAGGTGCACGATGTGAGAAAGCTGCTCTTCCTCTTCGTTCTCTCTCCCTTTAATATATTCAAAGGCTTAACACGTTCTTTTGCTGCTGGTGTTAATATAAAACATCATGATTTATAATCATAGACTGTTTTTGAAATGCTCCTCTGATAATTTGCCCTTGAATTATGGAGAGTCATTAGATGAGGTTGGTGCAGGTAGATGCAAAGGGCAGATGTAATTGGCTGAGGGCTTTATCTTGGCCAGTTTTTAATCTGGTTTACTTTCCTGCTGCTCAGCACCCAGGGCCTATTTTTTTTTAAATGCATACATTTTTTGCTTTTGATTTTTTTTTTTTCAGTCTGTCAGAAAACTAGCTGTTAACTTAAGCATATACCGAGTGTGGGTCCAGAATTTTGGGGTTTAATTGCTACAGAGAAAGTCATGGTTGAAAGATAACACTTTATTCCCCCAATTCACCAATTAGAGGCTGTTTGTTTAACCTTCATCGCCTATTCATTTGAATATTATAGCTTATTTTCAGATCCCTCAGTTCAGATAGTTCAGATCCCTGGGGCTGTGTGCATATCCAAAGCCAGTATCAGCTAGTGTCACTGGATTAGAACCCCATGATCCTCGCTGATCCTCAGTGGTGCTCTCCCTTCCAATCGACAATCCTCCAGCTTGTCACATGACACATCGCTCTTTACACCTTTACTCATGTTTTCTTCACAAATGCATACATGAGAGTGGCATCAGTGTGACTGGGGATGCTGGAGTGTTGCTCTTCCTGGGTCTGGACAGGTAGGTGAGTCTTCTGTGTTGACTTCTTTGTTTAAAGGATATGTGCACGTGTTTCGAAGTGACAACACAAATCCTTCAGCTGGTTGTCTCATGCAGGGATCACGGCATCTAAACGGAGCTTATTAAAGCTCTCTGTGGCATGGAAATTTGGGATCTGCAAACACTGCTGACAATGTCGCCTTCAGTTTAGTCTATCAAATGTGACATCTGGATATTCTGAGTGGGGTTTTTTATCAATGAAAGCTGGTTATAGATTTATGGAGATTTTTCTCTAATAGAGTAATTTGTTGAATCTAAATCCATTTTATCAGATCCTCAGTGTTTTTTATTTTTAATCTACACGTATAGGAGCAGTGAAACCCGCAAATTAATAATAAAAGTTGCATCTTATACTTTGTGAACTCTGCTGCTGCCAGCAGCATTGAGCCCTGTGGCAGATCCATCTGGCGGACTAAGTCTGTGGGCTCATGCCGCTTTGTTCTCGCTCCATTGTGCTTCCTGCACCAGGAATGCTGACATCCACAGTTTTGGAAAACACACAGATACATGTGCAAACACACATTTATGTGTGCGTATATTTGTGAGCATTCGTTTTGGGAAACTAGCAGACAGTTCGTTGCTCTTTTTAAATTTTAAATGCTATATTCGAATATTCAGTTTTGTTAATGTTGTTTGTCACAATGACGCCATCGGGGACTTTCTCTTCCTTGTACGTATTTGGAATATTATAATTCAAACAGGTTGCTATACTAAATGTTTAAAAACAAAATTGGAGCCATAGCTGATAAGATTTTGTTTGTGTTTTTGATGCAAAACATGCTTCATGTTGACAGGTCATAGTAAAATACCTGATGGAATTTGAAAAAGAAACAGGGACTTGTTCAGCTTAGCGGAAGAGACCAGCACGCCTGCAAACTGCCATCGAGACCTGGATCCGGAGAGGAGTTGAGCTGTGGTGTTGAGTTTCAGTGCAAGGGGAGATTCTTGCATGACAGGCTGGAACGGGTCATCTTACACAGACACGAATATAAGAAAAGGACTTTGATAAGACTTTGATGTACGCCACTTTTAGAAGAAATGGTTAATATGTAATGAAGCTCATTGGTGTTGTCTCTGACTTTTCTAGGAAGCCTGAAAGGCGCTAATGTAATGTATAGTGAAATGTTTCTTATTTAACTAATCTATTTTTTATCTTTCAGGAGAAATACCTCATTCACTGTGGAACAGGCTGGATTTTAACCTTGGATTAATGTAATCTGTGAGGAAAACCAAAACAAGAAGCTCATGGAAACAGAATTGTACTGGAAGAAAGGTTGGCTCTCATGTTCTGCCCCAGCTGAAAAGTGGAAGAAGAACAGCTCATCTGTTTTTTGTTCCTATATGCTTTTTGAGGAGCAAACAACCATCTGAGTCCTTCTGCGATGGAGAACGCCGTCCTGGAGCCCAGATCGGAGCGGATTGCCCGCTACAAGGCTGAGAGGAGGCGAGAACTGGCCGAACGCTACGGCAGCATTGACGAGCTTCCTTCTAAGTGGGTGAGACGGGATGAGAAAAAGGTTCATGAGCCAGCGAGCCAAGCGCATGGAGGAATGTTAAGCTCCCACGATCTGAGTGAAAAAGTGAACAGCAGAACACAGGATGTTACAAATGGATTAGAGACTCCTGCTGAGCCCGACTGCCTGAGAAGGTGAGCCATGTCAAGGGTGAAAGATGACTTCATTGAATGCCTTGAAGACTTAAATTTCAATCATAGCTCATTGTCATTATTTATTTTAGAATAACAGGAATTTGGCTGAAGTCTTGCAACAACTTCTTAGTGTGCAAAAAGGATACAATTAGCACTTCAGGACACACACAAGAAACACGATAAGCCTCTTTGATGGCCTTAGATACAGCACTGTCTTCCTGCTGTGGCTGCACAGGGTAGCAGGTGCTGTGAGCCTAATTTGCTCAAAAAAACAATAAAACCCTAATTCTGGCAACATGACACTTGCCACCTGTTCACAGCTTTCAGAACTTGACAAGTTGTTGATACCTTCAATAGTTTGTGTCATGGTAACTGCTAAGAGCAGTGTGTGGCATCATATTAATAGTCAGTCAGATGACAGCGAGCGTGCATGTAGTGCAGATGGTTTAGATTTGCAGGTGGCTTCTTCTCTTCTGTGAAACCATGAAAATGGGCTCATTCGTTTGATTTGAGAATCAAGCATGAAAAATGAGAAAGGGATTGACTGAACCAAAAATACGAAACATAGACAGCAATAGATTTAAAAACACTAAATCCAGGAAGTCCGTGCTTTTACCTTTTAAACATGCTTTTTTCTTGACTAGTGACCTTTGAGCAGCAACAGATTGTTGACTTCACCAGTTGCTCTGGTTGTTAGTTAGAACTGAGACATCCAAATCAGTCTGTCCCAGGAAAGACAGTTAACCTTCTAATGCCAAATGTATCAAATTTGATACATATTTTTGTGAGTTTTTGAGACTTCTGCATTATTAATGTGAACTGTGACAGAAGATTATGTTTTGTGCTCCTCATGTCATGTCCCCCATATCTGCAATCTCACCTCCTTCCCTCACTCATACCCTCCCCTCTAGGTGGGGTTCCCAGAACTCTGCTAGCATGCAGAGTGGGGAAGAGCCTCATATCCCTCATGGACTCGACGGCCCACAGCTCCACACTCGGGTGTCCGTGGGCCAGTTGAGAAGTGCTCTTCTACAGCAGACGGAGAGCGGAGCACAGCCTGAGAAAGCGTAGGGTCGCCTGCATGCGCGTGTGATCCGGCCTGTCACTAACAGACTGTGTTCCACTGTGTGATAATATTTCTCTTCATCTCAGCATCTTCTCCCCTTCTTACTTTCTTCTTATCCTACTTTGTGTGTGGATAGTAGCTTCCCTGATGCTGGGCAAGCCACATCCTCTCTGGATCTGGCTGTAAACCCGGGCTCTGAGGGGGGTCGGCGACGCACTCGGCGTTACCTCCCTAGCGCGTCAGGCGGTAACAGAAAAACTAGCGAACGCTTCAGGACACAGCCAATCACAGCCAATGAGATGGAGGAGAGCAGTGGGTAGGGACTGTTTCTTGTGGGCATGATAAAAAATAAATAAATGGGCAGATGAGATGCCTGGCATGGCGAGGACTAAAGAAAATATCGTTTGCTGTGTTTTCATATATTTAAAATAGTGTACGGCTAACATTTCATGGGAAAACTCATTAGGAACAAAATATCAGCCTTACCTGATGATACAGTACCACAACTTTTCTCTTATAGGAAACACTTATTTACCCTTAAATGATGCTTAATATTTGTTCCCCGTGATAAGAATGCACTAACCCTTCAGCTGAGCTGTGGCATGTGGAGCAGCTTTACATAAAAAACCATTGGGCGGTGTATTTTGCATGAGTTTATCTTCCTTAATAGCCTCCACAGTGTTGCTTTACCCAGCATGCAAAACAGCACAGTGTGTTGACTGTCTGAGCTGCAAATTGAAGCAAAAAGACACATACTGTAAACACCAAGCTGGATCCAGATCTCCATAACAACATTATCTAAAGAGTCACGCATATGTCACCAACCTGTTCACCTGATGACCTCATCCTTTGGCTATTTTCCTCTGATTCTTCTAGGTGCTTGGATCCAGAGAACGAGGAAAACAGCAAAGGTAAAGCTTTCTCCCCTATGTGTTTGTCATCATCTGTTATTTCCGTGTGCTTTGCTGGTACACTGTCTGGTTGAGAAGGAAGTAAAAATGATAACAGGGAAAACTTGCATGTAATATATTACGTGAGGTATGAAAGAAACATAAACAAATTGAAAAATACTGTGTATAATATTTAATTCTTGCAGAGGGCTTCCAACTTGCACAGTTGCCTCCATAAATTCATTTAATGGCTCAGGAAATAAACTGGGTTATATTTAGAGGATCACAATGCTCAATCTCTTCTGTAACGACAGACCAAACCATTTGGGCAGTGGAGCGGTGTTATGTACATCTAACTCTTGACCCCGTCATAAAAAGATGACAAGCAAGTCTTTACAGAGATTGACTCACTGAGAGTTTACACCACAGATAATAAGACAGCAGACACAAGTGGCCTTTATTGCTGTATGGATGTTTAGACTGTTGTTTTCAGGTCACACTGTACATCATTAAAATTGTTCTTCACAACTTTTTACTCACAGCTATCATCAATACAGAGATGTCCCCAATTCCTAGACGTAGATGCAGTGTATTTAAGCACAGTTCACCAAGAAATTGCACCTGTGTTTGCTCTGTCTGCACCTGTGTCTCTTCCTGCTGTAACTGTTTAAAAGTTTGATGACTCTTAATTAATCTCTTAATGGCTGTTTTCTTTTTTTAATTTTCAAATGATGGTGTGTATTTTTCCACAGCAGATGTAAAAACAGACGACAGAGCCAAAATGAGTGTGGCAGCCAAGATGTCTCTGTTTAAAGTGAGTTTGAATTGTTACCTGCTTTTTTTGTTAGAATGTGAAATCCCACATAAACTCGCCTAAACACACACAGTAAATGCAATCACTCTACAGTGTTAAAATGAAAGAAATGTATTCAATCCTTTATCATCTACTGTCAAATCAGCTGCTCAACTTACAGTCTGAGCGCTGAGCACGCAGAACACTACCTGGTCCTGTTGAAGGAATATGAATGGTCAAAACAGGTGCTCTCCTTGGATCCACACTTTGGTTTGATGCTACAGTGTGTCCTTTAGTACTTATTAAAGGAAAGACCAAGTCTGTAATATGATAGATACAGAGCCTTATCTCGAAGCTCTTTAAGCTCTTTAGTATCACACAGATGATGCATTGCACTGTGGATTTTTCTATTATTCCAACATTTCAGCTGAGGCACACTTTTAGCAATAAGGCATCAGGTGAAAATGTGCCAGACACTGTATTAACATTAACAGCCACAGCAGCTGTGGTATAATTAGCCTGCTGCTCTGTAGAGGCAGCAGGGGAGGTAACTGAAGCCAGCAGGTCTCTTGTTACATTGTGACCTGCAGCATGCAGCAAGTGGCCAAGATGCTGCACCTTAGAGCGCGCTGCTTTATTCACCAGCTATCTGACCCGCTTTACCTCCCTCCATCTGTTTATACAAATAGAACAGGGGACATCTTGAGGGGACTTTTTACTGCCATTTTTGTGGTCTCCCTCATTATTTATGCAACAGGTGGAGGCTGTAGATTGAGGCTCCTATTTGACCTGAATGTTGTCGTCCATCTGCATCACAGACTGGGTTCAAACTGATTTTTTTTTATTTATTTATTTTTTTTTAAAAACATTAATGTCCTCCACACATCCTTCTCTGTAGGAGCTGGAGAAGTCTTCAGCCTCTGAGGCCTCGGCATTCCTCAAGCCTCGCTCAGGCTGCGTCTCTCATGAACGCAGGAGCCGGCGTGGCAACGACCATCGCTTTCTGACACAGCCAATCACCTGTGGAGAAATAGTGGCGATCAGGTGGGAGAGGTGTAGTGTTACCAAAACCACATCACATAATTAGCTATTTGACTTGATTGACAATCACTAAAAAAGTCATCTAGTTTTAATTAAGATTATGCATGCGTAGTTTTTACATTTTAGTTTTGTGGGAATAAATAGATGCTTGATGATTTAAAAACTTAAAATGTTTAAAAACTCCAACTTATTAAAGTCAAATCTGTGAAAGCAAGAGACCGTGCTTCAGTGGAATTAAGTACTTACTGTATGTCTTATTTAAAAGTAAGAACTTCTAGAAGTGTGTCTTATCTAAGCAGTTATTTTTAGGCTCCTAAGTAAATGAGTAAAGAGAGAGTTGTTCAATGGTTAGGGCGTAAAAAAAATCTGCATTTTTAGAATCAGTAGTTAAATGTGACAACATTTTCTTCAAGGCTTTAGTGACATATCTCTTCAAAATAGCCTTTTCCCTACAGATTAAACTTAATATTACAGCTTCATTAAAGCTTGGTTTATTTTCTTTGACTAGTCTCACCAGATCACTGAGTTTTTTATGCTTCTTTCCTACAAAAACGAGTAGACCAAGAAACAAGAAACAGTTTAAACTGTCATAAACCCATGCATAATGCAAAAACATGGTTGGCTCATACGTTTCCCAGCCTTTCTGTTTGGCGAAACAAGTTGCAAGGAATTTGTTCTGTCACATTCCTGGCCAATAAAGAGCCCTTGATTGACTCAGTGTCACCATATTTGCTCTTATAGATTTCTCCCATGTGTTTCTGTTCAGGAGTTTTTCGGTGCCTGGTTTCGTTTGGCTGTAACTCGTGGCAATGGGTCACAAATATATGCTTTTTTTTTTTTGTAAAGGAATGAGATTGTTGGAAACCAAACCAAAATTGGGATTGGATCTAGTTTGTTCAACCAGAATTATATGAATTTCTTAGGGGCTATTTTCAGTTACACATTTGCTGTTGTAGGGAGTAGCAGCAGCAGGACGATGTCTGTCAGATTGACTAAAAATAACCTGTGTGTGTTCATGGTAATGAAAAAACACCCGCCGTTTTCTCCACTGCTTTTGCACAGCAGTGTAGATCAAATGTGTAAGGCATCTGAGATTTTGACTAAACATAAATTCTTCTCTGACTTTTTGGTGTCATGTGATGTTACGCCTCAGCACTCCCAAACCAGCACCACCAGTGGAGGTCCAGTCTGTGCAGGCTGAGTCGGAGGAGGATGGCGATGAGAGCTGCAAGCTGAGCATGAGCGAGAAGCTGGCCCTCTTCAACAAACTGTCCCTGCCTGGGAGGGAGGGAGCCGGGCCTGCTGACGGGCCCCCAGAGAGACGAAGGCAAAAGGGGGCTCGGTACCGCACGCAGCCCATCACTGTGGAGGAGGTCAGTCTGGTGGGTAGAAAGCAACAGAACAATAAATGGGGAAACAAATGTATTTAGAACTTCATAGACCAGAAAAGGGGCAGGAGTGGTTATTAGCAAGGTTAATTTGTTGTCTTTCTTCACTTCTTGCCTGCTGTCCTCTAAGTAAATCTATTATTGATCTTCTTTACCTTCTTCTTTTTTTCTTTTTTTTTAACCTTCTTTGCCCCTTTTTAGCTCCAGAAAGGCCCTGTTCAGCTTCCTGCCCTCTGTTTGTCCCCTCATCTGTCCGACAGACAGCAGGCCTCGTCTGTCAACCTGAAACCCAGTGAGGTACGTCTTTCACAGTCCACATCAGACACTGGCACTGGACTCGGAAAATCTGGTCCGACTCAACAGGGACCACAGTGCTACGACTCTGAGCCAGGCTTAAAAGGAATCCTGAAGAAGAGCCGCTCTGCAGGCTCGGAGTGGAGCAGGACAGAAGCCAGTCAGGTAGACGCATCATACAGCCATGAACAGAATGGTGGAGGCTGTAGAGAAGCGGCGATACACGGGAGCAAAGCGGGAGGTGAGAGGGAGGGAACTTCTGCAGCACCACAGAGAGACAGACGAGAGACCTCTGGTATGGAGGAAGGTTCGCAGTCTGCTGCTCCCTGGAGGCAGAGGGCTAGAAACAGGAGGGAAACCATTGCCTGCACACCAATAAGAGCCTTGTCAGAGCAGGATGCTCCACAGCAGTCCTGCCAGTCCAAACATGAACTGAGCTTTTCCTCTGAGAAAAACACCGTAGACATCAATGGAAGAGCCAAGTAAGTCATGTAAATAAAATGACATGATCTGATAAGAACTGTAAATGTTTTTCTTCTATAGAGTCAAACTGTTGATATTGCTGCATATAGGAAAGGTTTGCTAAAGACTTTGAAACGTATATTATTGTGACATCTGTGAGTTGGATAATAAACATGATTCTTTACAGTTTTCACCAGAAATATTAACAGTTTTCAGCAGCTTGTTGTTGTCCTTTGATATGTTATATACTTCATACTGTGTGTAATGTGTCTTAAAGGCAGGAGGAAGACCAAAAGGCCATGAACAAGATCCATGACAACACCACAGATATTAAAGCTGTCCGGGTCACCTCAGAAGAGTGTGCGCCTAAAATGCAGGAGACAACCAACGGCAGCAGAAGTGAGGTGAGCAGCAAGGTTAACCACGTAAGACATGGACCATTTAAAAAAAGGTTTTGTCAGCGTTTACTTGCATGTCATTCTGTCTGATAACACTGAACGAATTCTAATAAAACTTTGTATTGGTGTAGAGTACGGTCATGTTATAAATCCATTCAAATTTAGCTTACTTCCATCAGTTTCTTCAAGGTCAACTTTATGAATTATTGATAGTTATTGACAAAAATCGGTGAAACTCAGGAACTATGATTCTTACAAGAGTTGTGTGTCAGCATACCGAAAGTACAGCAGAGGATAAAATATCATGTCACATTTAACCTTTGACCTCTCCTTCAAGGTCAATAGATAATTTGAAGGTCAAAGTATATAATAATTATATATATATATACCACTATTTAAAATATTGTTTGGAGTGACGACATATAGGAATAAAGGGAATGATATATGATTGTAAACAGTGTGTTACTTTTGAGATCTGACCTCTTCTCCAAGGTCAAATAAGGTCAAATATTCATAAAATGTCTTTGATCTTTAAAACGTTGCTTAAATTCTGCTTTCTTTGTTTGTATTGGCAACATTTAAGAAATGATACTTGTATATGGGGAGTCTATATTATAGTTTAACTGAATGATATTAGACAATTCTATAAAAGCATTACAGAAGTTTTGCAGCATTTTTATTTCGCTGAAAGAACTCAGTGAGAAAATCTTTGTTTGCATCACAGAGGTTACAGAGTTCACGCTTCTTGCCTGGTTTAAATTGAGGCAGAGGTTACATTTGTGGTTACATTTGGGTATTTGTCATACCACTGAAACCAGATATAACATCTCTTATCTGCAGCACTCTGAATGTGGTATGTGCTGAATGTCCTGAGATCAGACTCGAGTTACCGCGGAATATATTGAGTCCAGTGAGTGTTTATGTACCAGGACGGGATTGACTGTCCTATTACACGACGTGGAATGTAAACACACTGATTATTTGGCAATTAAATGATCTCAGCTTCACCATGCCGACACGATGTGTGGGATTTGTATATTAATCCTTGTCCTACTTCCTTTTTATTTCTGTCATTTTTATATTTCTGGTAACATTTATGTTTGTTTTGAATTCCTTTAAATGCATCTCCCTGTTTTCCATAGTATCACGTGCAGGACGAGTCAGAAAACCCTCATCTTGAGAATGACAACCTTCAGTGCTGGGTAAGCCTCAAACTGATGATTCAAAACCCATCCTCCCTCATCTTGATTTTGAAACCACAGCCCTTTAGATTTTGAAGAGCTTTGAACATCTGCAGCCTGCCCCTCTCTCTTCTCTCCCAGGAGCCCGTCTTTGCCTCTGTCTATTCTATCAATACGCCCCAATATATCATGTGTTTTAATCAGGTAATCGTGTGAGCCGGCGCATGGCATTGCTGCTGTTTGATTTGGAGTGTTTTGTATGCTGTGAAAGGCTTTTGTCATCTCACAGATTCAGGCGGATGTGATGTGACAACCCTGACACCTTGTCTCGAAATTACAATGTGTCACATCACAGCTCTCAGTTCACACTTTAGGTGTGTGCTTACCAGATGTTCATTTTGGTCATGAAAGTTATATATTACTCCCACGTTTCTTTGTGCATGTTTCTGATCTAGCTCTAATGGACAAAAGTAAATGTGCATTGTACAAAAACTCCTTATAATATCTAATGCAGGGCAGGATTAGGCAGAAAGGAACAGACTGAATGAAATGTTACACATAGAAAGTTTAGCTCTATGTAAAATCTGTATATTTTGTACCTTCTGTGCAATCCACTCTCACAGTCCTAGAATGCAAAAGTCACCATTTCTGTGTTTTGTTTTCATCTCCAGACTAACCTCTCCTTTGAGGCACAAGAAGTCTCCTCTCCTACGAACAATCAGAGTCAGCCTCAGTGGAGACAAAAGGTGCCTGCATTTTTTTCATATTTGTGCGTGCATCTGCAGAGAAGCTGCATTGTAACGGATGCATTTCTCGGGCTCTGTAGGATAAAGGAACTGAGATTCAGATGACTGAATTTGGAGAATTGAAAACGCAGCAGGAAAGCAAAGAGCAGGAGGCTGGAAGCACGGCTAAGACAAGTAACTCGCTTACTCTCCAGTTCTCATACAGTTCTGCTGAGCGTATTTTGGCCTTGTTTATGAGTTTTCCCCTCCTGTGTTTGCAACATCTAGGCCTTGCATCTGGTGAATCACAGAGAAATGGTATCGCTCACAACAGGAGACACTCCACTGATGCTCCATCATGCAAAAATGAAGGTCGGAGCGGTTTTCCACCACGAAAAACAAGCAAACAAATAAACAAACAAGTCTGTGTTGAGACTCAGTGCTTGTTTTATATATCAGAGCTATCCATCATGCATTCATCATCATATGGACAACGCTGGTTCCCACAATGTAAAGGCTCATTGAGGATCAAAGTATTTTAGCGTTTTCATCTCTTTCCCCCTCAGTGACTCCACAGAGTTCTTCACCAACAGTCACTACTCAGGAGGTAAAGGAAGAGACGCCTGTTGATGAGCCAAACATGTTTGATGGCAGTTTCTACTGTGAGCAGTCACCTCCTTCAGCCTGCCCCCCACCTTGTGGTGGGATTGCTGCCTCAGAGGGTGAGCAGGACCTGGGAGTCTTCTGCCAGACCAACACACACATGTAAGCATAGTTTTTTCCTGCAAATGTGAGATTAGATTGAGTCCTTGCAATTTCTAAATAGTAAATACAAAATATATTTTATGCTAAAAATAAAAGAAAAAGATTAGAGTAAAAAAAATTTTCCTGCAAAATTTATATTCACACACACAGTAGCTGACATCTTCAGTAACTCTGTATTGTCTGTGTGTGCTTGTTTGCAGATTGACCTCAGCAGTAGCAGAGCACAGGCGGTCGGTACGTCCGTCCCGTCGGACTCAAGGCTCCAGAAACCCTCTGAGGGCTCTCGCAGCCAGAGAGGACATCAGGCAGGACTTCATGGGAGAGAGAGTCAATTCATCAGCTCAAGAGAGGATCCAAGCAGAAAAAAGTATGCTAATTTATGTTGTTCCGTTCTCTTGTTACTTGCCTTCTTTTATGTTGCTCAGCTACCTGATGTTGCAGTTTTATTTCTCACTATAGAGTCTAAGAACTCGTCTATAACAGACTCACCTCCATTAAGATCTGAAGAATCCTCCTCAGATGCCGAGACAGCTAAGTCTTACCCGCCCTTCAGCAGCCTGATGCTAATTCACATCAAAGGTCAGGAAAGGTTTGGTTCATCTGTGTGATGATCTGCTTGTGGTCAGGTGTTAAGGTTAACCAACACCTGTGATGACAGGTAGGCGCCATGTTCAGGTCCGCCTGGTTGAGCCCTCAGTGCGGTCACTGAACAGTGGAGACTGCTTCCTGCTGGTCACTCCAGAGCACTGCATCCTGTGGAGTGGAGAGTTTGCCAACGGACAAGAAAAAGCAAAGGTACCACCCAGGACAATGTTATGGAGTAATAGCAGCATGTATGACACATAAAATTACAGGGAAAGGGTAAAGAGGTGGATAATACAATACAAAATAAGAAAGTAGGATTAAAACCCTAACCCTTCCCATTGCCAGGAAATATCTGGCCATCCCTTAAACTTACTCGTCTTAGAAATTTACATGGGAAAGGATGTTTTAATAACTTCACACATATACCAAATTGGTTTACATTTATGCACAACAAATAAATGCATAAAATATTACCCTTCAAGACCCAAAGAGCATTCTGTACATAAAATGCAGTGTTTGCAGTTCTTGCAGTAAATTGTAAGCATTAAACCTTAATGGACTCATAAAAGTTGGTTACAGTTTGTGTGTTAAATGCATAATAAAGGACAGTGATGATATGAATCAAGAACGTCATACATCACAGAGTTCAGTTAATGATTATCTAAGTATCCCAGTATGTATGTTTACTTGTAAACATTAACTTTGGTTGCGTTTTAAATGTATTTATATTTTATTATGGAACAGTGTACTAAACATATATGGGGACAAAGTGTGGAGACAAAGCACTGAATGAGTAATTAAGTCAACATTTTGAGATAATAACCCAAAATATTTCCTTACAAGCTTCCATAAAAAAGTGATATTATTGAGAGGACAGCGTACACTGTCACAGACTCTCTTTTTTTATAGTTATTTGTACGTTTCTATTATTATAACAACTATAGCTGATTTCACACATGAACGGGTTGTGACACTTATGAATTTATTTCTTTTCACATGCAGCACTCAGCCATGTTCTTGTTATTGGAAATATTTTGGTTTGGTGAGGCAAGTTTCCTGCAAGATTTCTAATATAGGCCAGCGAAGACTGCAGTAGTAAAATAAAAAGAAATTACAATATGCTTTTACTATAGACTATGTTCTGTTTGGGTTAGCACAGCAAAAAGGTCCTAGGTTCTAATCCACCATCTGCTCAAGGCCTTTCTGTGTGGAGATTGCATGTTCTCCCTGTGTCTGTGTGGGACTCTCTGGGTACACTGGCCTCCCTGTGACCCTGAATGGGATAAGTGGCAGAAAATGGGTGAACTATATTCTGTTACTGCTGATTATCATATTATTTCTTCTTCTTTTTTTTTTTTGTCAGGCCTCTGAGCTAGCTTTGTTCATCCAGAACCAAAGGGACCTTGGTTGTTTGGCTTCCCACTTTGTCCACCTGGAGGAGGGCATGAACTCTGACAGCAGTGTGGCTGCAGACTTCTGGAGTCTACTGGGAGGAAGAACACAGTACAGAGGTTGGAAGTAAAACATGTAGGCGAAACATGTGGGGTGATCGTGGCTCAAGAGTTGGGAGTTCGCCTCGTAATCGGAAGGTTGCCGGTTCGAGCTCTGGCTCGGACAGTCTCGGTCATTGTGTCCTTGGGCAAGACACTTCACCCCCCGCCTACTGGTGATGGCCAGAGGGGCCGATGGTGCGATATGGCAGCCTCGCTTCTGTCAGTCTCGCCTCTGTCAGTTGTGGCTACAACTGTAGCTGCCTCCACCAGTGTGTGAATGTGAGAGTGAATGGGTGGATGACTGGGTGTGTAAAGTGCTTTGGGGTCCCTAGGGTGACTAGTAAAAGCGCTAAACAAATACAGGCCATGTACTTTTCAAATATCTCAGAGAAACACATTTTGAATTGCAATTTTTCTCCTTTTATAATTCACCTGTTGTTTTTCATCCAAAATGTTTTTTCTTTTCTTTTGCTCACAGGAGCTGGTGCTCCAGAGGAGGATGAGCTCTATGAGCGCGGTGTGGTGGAGTCCAACTGTGTATACAAGCTGGTGGAAAACAAACTGGTGCCTCATGAACAGGCTTGGGCCTCCATCCCCAGCATCACCCTGTTGGCCTCCTCTGAGGTCTGAGCTTCAATTCTCGGCTCCCTAATTACTTATATTGTAGTTGTTTTGGTTTTTGTTCATTAAATGCTTGATTGTAGAAAAATAATGAAAGAGACGTTAATCTCTGACTCTGTTCATATCTCTTTGTCATGTATGCCCAGGCCCTGGTGTTTGATTTCGGCAGTGAGGTCTATCTGTGGCTCGGACAGGACGTTTCCCTCAGGAGCAGAAATGTTGCTCTCCAGTTGACTCACCAGGTGTGGGTTGGAGCTTATGACTACAGCAACTGTCAAGTAAACCCACTGGATCCCACTCAGTGTAACCCTGCAATTCAGCTGTAAGTCACTAATATATTACACATAAAAAAGGAGCAGAGTAAATACTCACCACATGAAAGAAGCATGGATAATCCGAGCAGTGGCTCTTTCCTCTGTGTACAACATTAAGTTTGCTGTGCATTCATAAAATGCACTCTGTAGAAAGTAATTCTTGGTTAAGTGTGCCCATGTGACATGCTCTAAAAACCCTGCTTGATGTTTAAAGTCCAGACTATATTTTGACATTTAAAAGACATATATTTTGAAGCAAGCAAGTGGACATGAACTACAAAATACTTGCAGAGTAAAGCTCTTCTCTCAGTGTACCATATTCCACAGTCAGAAAATATATTACAACTTGTGTATATTAAACAAGGTCTTTAAAGGGCTTCATTTCTTCATTTATTTCAAGAGGGTTTTTTTTTTTTTTTTTTTTTTTTTTGCAGTTTAATGAGATTTAAGCTTTTAAAGTATATATATATATATAGTGTGTGTAATTATGTCTCTTGGGAATGGATGTCTTTAAAGCTCGACTCTGGACTAAGGCAGACTCTCTTTTCTGTTTTGTTTAATGCTTGTGTTAGTTCTTTTATCGGTTTCATGGCATAACTTTGTCCACAGACGAGGAGAAGGCCGTCCCAGCTGGGCTCTGTTCGGCGTCCTCACTGAGAGCAACGAGACAGCTCTGTTCAGGGAGAAGTTCCTGGACTGGATGTGCAGGGTTGGAGGCAGAGAGGAAGCGGCTTCAGGGACGGATCAGACGCAGGTTCATATCACATTCAGAGATATGATGCGGCACGTGCAGTTTTCAGACACTCACACCAGTCTGTTTCAGTTATTACACTGTTTGTGTAAAATTATAGATGTGAAGAGTATATCTAGATCAATTAGTTTTATTAAGTTTCCAGTTACCATAACTAGCTACCTTTTATTTCTACTGAAACTCATGTGCAGATATCTAAATTTCAATTTTGACTTTTGCTTTTTAAAAGTAATTTTTTTTAAACCACTAAAATTCAGTGTCTGTGCTTCCTCTCCATAGTCCATCCCAGTCCAGTCATCCCAGCCCTTCTCCCCTCCTTCAGACCTCTTGAGTCCCTGCGATGCCAAAGCTCTAGTATCGGGTCAGTGCTTAGAAGGTGACGGTTTGGTCCGTACTGTGCTGGCTGGGGTCGATGTCCAGAGAGGTCATGGTGTCATCATGCTGACGGAGGAACGTCAGATGGAGCTTAAAAC